TTTACAAAGCGCAAATTTCGTTTCATAGTTCGGTATTACAACTATCAGGACCTCGACCATAGTAGCAGAAATTGTAATTCCGGTCTCAGTTTTGTCAGGTGCTCCAAAGCGCATACATATAAGAATTGTAAGGTACAGTAAAAGTATATAAATTGCTCTTCGTCTAACAAAAATCTTGGCAATACTTTTGCATTAGATTATCAAGTTAATTTCCGTTGTAGTCCAACATACAAAGCAGCCCTACAGTCTAAACTACAATAAGAGGCTTAACGGATGCAGCAATAGGTATATAGGATAGCCTTTGTAATTTACCAACAACTTTGTATAAACTTTTGTTTTGCAGTGCAATCAACAGAAATCTCGACAAACGAACAGCTCGTTTTTTCAAACATTTTCAGAAACTTCAAAAAATATTGCTTTTTTTCCACGAACCTTATGCACAAAATGGTCATATTCCTGGTTTGTGTAATCGACTTCAAGCATTTATTTCAAAATCAAACTGGACACAAATTATATTATTCTGTGCTTTTTCAGTTACCATCTTTTCAGTCACAAAAAACACAATCACAGTGCAATTAAACGCTGAAAAAGATTTCTTTCTACTCTGTACCACCGGCGGCCGAGCGGTAAAATCCCTAGACACTTGTAGCTCTGTCCGGTGTACGAATCTCGGCCAACAGGCTGGCTGCATGGGCATTTCCGTTGTTTTCCCATATGTAAGGTGTATACGAGTCTTTCCCTTAAAAAGTCCTCCACGAAGGCATCTCTCCCTTTATGCAGATAGCCCTCAAGGCTTTGCCGTAATCATATAAACCAACCTAAAACGTTCTATTCCTTTTAGTTTACTTTCCACCTACTCAAAACCTGAAATTTGTTGCTGCATGAACTGGAACCTATCTTTGTTCGCTCTTCATATTCTTCAGATATCACAATTGCAGGTGACTTTAATGTGTCTAGTTCCTTATAAGGATCACCATATTAAAATAACGTAGCACAACTAGTACAAGACTTTACCTCTTCACACTCTCTTCATCTTTTAAATAGCTCAGACAGCCCACCTTTAGCACATTAAAAAAGCGAAGGGGAGGGGATTTATAGTGCTTATTATAGTGGAGCTTCAGCCCACTTTTTCAGAACCGGCTTGTTCTAGAAGATTTTTAAAGCCTAAGTAATATCGCGTAATAACGTTTTCTTTTGACAAAACGCTTACATTTCGAGCAGGACGTCGTTTTAAAAAAATCAGTGGAAATGACAAGAAATTTCTCGATAGTATTTCTTCGGAATTGCAACTTCTAAATGAGTGCCAGAATAAAGAAGAACTTCATCAAGCGTATTCTAAAATGATCTCATCTGTGATACAAGCTTGCTTAAGAAGTTACAAATTAAAAACTTTTGGACAGGTACGCAGGGTTTCTTGGTGGATCGCAGGACTTCAGGCTTAGAGCAAGTAGACATCGTGTACAGCGCGAGAGGGATCCGAATGCTCGTAGACAGCTATTGACAGCCTATGAAAAAGGTCAGCATTTAAGAAACGTTGTAAGAATTCTGTTTATTTTATTAACAGTTAAATTTTGAGTTAAAACTTCCTTTCCTATCGCTTCTTAATTTCAACTTACCACTTCCGGCCAGAACGTAGTTTTAGAATCACATCTAAATGTAAATTGAGGACGAGTGGTATTTAACCGCTCGTCCGTTCTACTGTTTTAGTCAGGCCCGGGTGTCGGCTTTATTGTCAACTCCAAGACGGAGTTCTGTTAAACTTTAGTTGGAATAATAAAGGGTTATTTCACCCTTCTCACTTGTTGTTTTCTAACCCACGAACTCAAGCGATTATTCGCTTACTACTTCTTAAGAATCCTCACATTCAACTGTAACTTAGAATTACACAGTGGTGAATCCTACAACGTTAACAAAAGCTAAACGTTCTCCGTAATACACATACTGTTTACAAATAATAGAAAAGTTTAGAATTATTTCTAAAATAGCGAATGAGGAGGTTTCCGACCTTGTTCGATTCCAGTTTCCATTAAACCTTCAGCCACGACTTCTTCAAAATTACTCGACATTCTTTTGGAATCAATATTTGAGGAAGATAGAATGGAGTAAGACACAGATGAACAGGCCACTTAATGATTAAGTTTCGAAGTGCTTCGGCGGACAAACACAGAAGATGATCTAAGCTTTCCAACAAAATTTGAGCTAGGGTATGTCATCAAGAAGATTAATATACGGAAGACTTGTGGCCCTGATAACCTTGATAATCAGCTAGTAAAACTACTTTACCAGAATTTTCCTACTTTGATCACGATATTTGTAAGAAATTGTTGGCGACTAAGGCTCTTTCCGTTGAGAACAAAAATTGTAGAAGTTGCTTTCTTTTTAAAGAAGGATAAGGATCCCTCTCAGCCTCAATCTTACAAGCCGATTTGCTTGCTGCTGACTCTGGGTAAGCTATTGGAAAATACAATCTTTATACGATTAAATCATTTTCTTTCTAAAAATAAACTCTTAGAACAGCAATACGGATTCATTAGGAATAAATCCACTGAGCATGCGATGCAGGGATTGGTTAGCATTATAACTTTTAATAGACATAATAACATGCATATACTTATTATATGATCGGATATCTAGGAAGCTTTTGACAGACATTTGTGGCTGGATGTCCATGACATCCTGGACAACGCACAGTGTCCAATATATCTAACTGAACTTGTTAACAGCTTTTTGACTGATCGAAGAGTCCAGATAACAGAAACAGACAGAGTAGTGATACGTCAAATAACAAAGGGTTGTCCTCAAGTTTCATGTTTAGGGCCTTTGCTTTGGAATCTTGTTGCAAGTACATCGTTTTTAGAATTTAATAACAATGAAGTTGTTCGGGTACCGACATATGAGGACGATTTCTTAATAATTGTCTCCGACAGACACGAAGTTGAGAGTAAGGCGCAGTCCTGTTCAAATATCTTTTCAAACTGAGCTAGATTTCATAAAGTTAACATACCTCTATCCAAAAACAAAGCAATGCTAATTGGCTAATATCGTACTTTAAAAAGAAACAGTCTTAAAATCTTTGGAAATCAATAGCATTTGTTTTCAGTCTACAATATCTTGGTGTTATTATTAACAACATAACATCGTGGATTCCTCATATCAAAAACATCAAGCAAAAAATAGCAAAAATTCAGAATTCTACATATACGGTAACTGATGTAGCCCGGAGAGTCCCTTCAGTTTTTCTCAAAACCTGGCTACTTAATTCAATGCAGAAGACACCTCTATTAATAATTAGTAATACGTATCGCACAACGTCAACTTCCGCCCTACACATCTTCACAGGAATTCCTCCTCTGATAACAGAAAGAGAAGCTTTAAATAAGAAATATTTTAAGACTATGCACATCAAAAAAACCTATGGAGATATTCTTTCCATCCAGATGACTATGAAACAAATAAAGTTAACATTATTTCTCATCCATCTTCTTTCCACATATTAGAAAAATTAATCCAAGTATCCTCGATTTCTCTGAAAAATATTCGGCCATTTATGCGAATAGATCCAAGGCTGAGCTGGCGGCAATTAGGAAAGCTCTAAAACTTGCCCAATTACAAAGTATTATTAATGCCAAACGACTTTCCATTTTCAAAGCTTCGACTTCAAGTCTGGAAGCGCTTTGTGACTTCCAGTCGAAAAATCCACTAGTTCGAGATATTCAGAATCGTCTACTGTCTTTTCCTTTGCTTCTTCGACCAACTTTGGCTTGAGTTCCAGTTCAACGTGGGATTCTCGGCAACAAGATGGCAGATTCAAAAGCGAAGGAGGAGTCATTGACACAGGAAAGACGTTCATTTCCACTTCCATTGCCTTCTTCATGTCCAAAGAAAGGAATCTGGAAACTTCTACTAATGCGTTAACAAGGATGACTGAACTTGGGTAACGTGGCGAAGAACCTACGAATTCTTGCCCAAAGTTTCTACAAATCTCTTCTCCGTAAATTCTGCTGTAACTTGGTTCATAAGGTGGACACGGTCCATTTATGACTTATTTACATATAATTGGACTCGCTCAAAGTAATCTTTTTGCATGTGGACAGATCGGAGATGCTAATCATTGTGTTTTTCACTGGCAAAGTGCATCGATAAATTCATTTTAAACAACCTGCTTCGCAACATACGCCTTTCCGGTTCGTAGGATACTGCAAAATAAAATAAGATTAGTTAAATTGCAGCAAGATATGTTTTCCTGTAGCGCAGCAATCTCACAACGAGATTATTAACAATCAGTTAAGAATCATCAGGTACAATAAACATTTTATTTTGAATATCATGTGAGTTTGGAACTGTGTTTTAACTAGGGAAATTTTTGATATTATCTCTATCATTTTATCATTCCTTCACAATTATCTGCTTTCAGTAATTAAAAATCATATGTTACTTTTCGTAAAAATAAGTTATTGAAACTTAACTAATGTAATACATTTAGAAGCAAACTTTTGGCTGTATATTGTTTAGAAATTATATTAAATTTTTAATAGGAAGCATATTTATACCCTGTTTTGTAACACATATTGTACGTGTTTGTTTTTTTGCCGTGTATTTAAACTTTATGTTTAACCTCCTGATAAAAACTATTAATTGTAATTTTGTTTCGGCATCATTTTAAATTGAATGAATAATACTTTCTTAGCTGCACTGGTTGTATCAACGTTAGAACTAGCAGCTCTTAATGATGAACTTTGTTTTCCCATGGGCACAATCGTGCTTCTCTTGCCTCTTTTATATATAGTATATTAATGTAAAAGCCCGAAGTCTGGTAAATCCGAAGTTTTACCGGTAAAAACTAGCCTACTGTTTCAATACTCCATTAATTTACATCTTGTGTGTAGATTTTAAATGAAATAAAAGTAATAAAACTTCAATGAAACTTGACCAGTTAAGCCTTAAGTTATCGAATAATTTTTGAAGTTAAAACAACATACAAAAGAAATAAAGCTTCCAACCTGATACTGTAGAGCACAGTCCCGTTTGGATAAATTCTGGTGAAAGTATTTGGCATAATAATATTGTGAAATTTCCCAGAATTTTCATTCGGAAAAAATCCATCAGGTTGCCACAATCTTCCTGGTGAATCTAAAGTCATGTACGAGACATTTCTGCTCAGATACCTCAATCTATCATCCACCCACGACTGTCGAAATGTCAGTTGTGTTTCATATTCCTAATGAGAAAGAAATAAATTTCCATCAAAATTTATAAATACAAATTTAAAAGTAACACTTCTTAATAATACTGGCCCAGACCTTTGATGACACATACATTTTTTTTTTTTTCTCATTTTCTGAGCATCTTTCTCTTCTAACCCTCTGACTGCTCAATTTGTAGACCGAAATCGCTTCCAAAATTTTTTTCCCATATTTTAAATCTATATATATTTGAGAATTGTAAAATGCACTTTTTCTTTCTAGAAAATATTTTTTATACTGATTTTTATCATGAGAAACTAAGTTGCCAGAAAAACCAATTTCAGATGTTATCACCAAAAAAAAAAATGTTTTTTTAAATAAATTTCAGTCGAATTACAGCTAATTTCTATTCGTTGCATAATATAAAAAAAGTAAAATGTATAAAATTTCAGAAAAATACCTTAGAGATGCAGTTTAGTATGATAGAGTTCAAAACAGGGTTCAAGGCAAAGTCCAACTTCACAGTCTTTGTACCAGATTCAATAAATCTAATTAACAATCAATCTAATTATTAATCTAATCAATATACCTAATTAAATAATTCAATAATTTAATTAAATAATCAAGATAATCGCTGAACGTTTTCTAGCAGCCATTTCTGTAAGAAAAAAGCGGCAAAAAGTGAAGTACCATGTGCCTTCAAATGCCGCAATTTAGTGGACAACTAACGATATCTGTTGGCCAAAACGTAACCTAAACTCCTAATAATACTGTATATAATTTATTTCAATGGTTAAACGAGGAAAAAATGGGATGCGCACCTCAATAAAGGAAGAAAACATATGCCCGCGGAAATCGCAGGATGAGCAAATTTTGCTACATTTCAGTTGCCCGTGGAAATGGCGGGATGAATAGTTACTTTTGACATAATACTGTACCAATGCCTGTGAACTCATTTTTACTACGCAGCCATGTCCTATCCGCAGAAAACTGGTCATGTATTCTATTAGTCCTATCTATCGCGACAGGCATTTTCCATAAGGTAGGATTACCATTTCTAAGAATTTTCCTATACGGCATTTCTTAGCTCTTTAATGTTTCCGTGCGTATTCATGCCCACAAGATTACATGCAGTAGGAAAAAACCTATTTAACGGAAACATTCTTAGAATTACACACTCACAGTTGTGTGCAATGCCTTTTCCAGCTTTAATAAAATACCTTTTATTTTTTTATTTTGTTCAGCTATAATTTGGCGAAGGACCTTGGATCTTTACATTTTTAAAAAGGAATATCATGAACGCAAAAGGCATTTGGGGATCACACATTTCGAAAAAAATAAAATAAAATAAAATTCAAGCGACAAGTATGTGTAGTTGTTTGGATTTTAATCCATTCGTCAGTGTTTGCTAACTGTGTCCTTTTCTATATTATTAGCTCAAAGAACGTTAGCCCAGAAAGGCTATTAATTTCGTTTTGCCATTTTGCGTTGATTTACTATAAAATTCGGTTCACTTTTCAACTTGTTGCCACCAAATGTTAGAGCCCTGTGTTATATTTAAAGAAATTAAATAATGAAGAATCTGCATAAATGTATGTATGTATGTTTCTCTTGGTGCCGGAAAAACAACTGTACAGACATCAAATTTTCAATAAGTTGTTCTTCACTAGAATATGGGCATCTGGAAGGCTGAACTTGGAATTTCGAATTTGTTTTATTATCTATTTCATATTCTGTAGAACTTTAACGAATATCTGATTAAGAAACTCAACGATTTCAAAGCGAGCCATGGCAACTCTGTACGAAAAAAAAACTTTTATCTTCACCGCGCGGAACTGTGTATCGGAAATTCTAAAGATATATTCATTTTAAAATTATTTTGCGATATTGCTGTTGAGTTGAATTTTATGGTTTAAGTGCGAAGAACATGACATTTAATAAAGGTAACACACAAAACGTTAAAAAAGTCCCTTTGGGAGTAATATAAAATATGACAGCGTTCAGATTTTTTTTTTCATTATTTATTTTTGGGAACTTCATTTTTTTACTTCCTTGTACGAAGTAAAAAGGAAGTATTGTAATAGCGAAAAGTTTCAGGCAGCATATTTCAAGGAAAATACCCATTTTGACCGTTATCGAATGCAATTTAACGATGTTTTTGCGTGACATCTGCACGTAAGGACGGAATAAAAGACTCTTTTCCTCCAAAAAAATTATAAAATTGCTTTAAAATGAATTCTGAAGATAATTTTTCCTGGCGTCTGTACGAAAGTATGTACGTACGTATCTCGCATAACTCAAAAACGAGCAGCCTCAGAACGTTGAAATTTTGTATATATTACTGCTTTAACATGTAGATGTGCACCTCGTATTTTGGTTGCAATCGACCGCACCAAACGTATATAAATATATTTATATATATATCCACTCTGTTACCCGGCTCAGTGATCTCAGTTGCTTTACTTTCATATGTTTGTAAACTGTACATTTTTTTTTCTTTAAAAATGATTGAATCATGTTGTTCTTATCTTCCAGTTAAGGTTTTTATGCCTTTAGTATATCTTTAGGCAATATTTTTAGAATTATCAACAATTTTAAATCTCTTTAAGTCCCGCTAAGCCTAATAATTTTTTTGATATGGTGGCCATTGCTTGTTTACATTTGAAACAGCAGGATAGTGGATTTGTTGCCAATCTAGAGAAACTTAGCTTCGCAAAAACAAAGATAACGCCTTCATTTAGTATTGAGAATTAAATCATGCTTAATCCTGTCTGGATCTTTTTCGAGGAAATCAGTGTTTAAGATTTACTTCGTAATTTTTAATACAGATATTTTGAGTTTTTATGTATTTTTGCCTTGTCGCGAAGTGATAACGGAATTAATTGAATGAGAAATACTCAATCGTCTGTGAAAAACTGTTTCTTTTTTGTTTTGTTTGCTTAATTTTTTTATACATTGTTCTAGCTTTATTATAGTATTTGAATAGAACATGTGGCAACGATTAGATAATTCTTTTAATGATATGAATTTTGTGCATTCTGAGTTATAATATGAACGAAATATAATACTATTAAGTGAACCTAGCGCCAGAGTGTCGCTATGGTAAACAAATAGAGTGAATTTTAAAGAATGCATTTATTCTATTGTGATTTATGCGTTGACTGTGAAGTAGATTTAATTCAATCCAATAAGTTTAAATGAAATGCAAGAAAAAATGCGTATAATTTAATATTCCGTACAAGGAAGTCATGTGGTGTACACATCAGATTTTTTTTATTTTAAGAGTATGTTTTCCATTTTAAAATGCACTTTTCGGCCATTTTTAAAGGCATTTTCAGTGAATATTTTAGATCATCACAACTGGGCCCGGCTGACCAGCAATAGCTTTGTCACAGAAAAGAAATTATTTAGTGATTCTGATGTATTAATTTGTGCTTTCGATTATTGTATGATGTATTAATTTGTGGTTTTAATTTCAATAACAAAGTCGGCATTTCTTCTCTAAGAAGGTATTTTTAATGCTCTTCGAATTTAGGTTATAAGGTATTTCTCCCGCCTTCGTGATGTAGTGATTCGATAGGTCCGTGGTTCGAGTCCCGACGAGGCATTGCTCATTTCTTCACTTTCCAGACATCGAAAAATTCTAAATGACTCTACAGTGGGCCCCGAACTAAAAAAAGGTGGTGGATGAAGTTTCTCTACCATCAAGATTTGAGGATTGGGGTCCTCTAATCCCCAGTCGCTCTTTAAAGGGAGGGGAGTATATGAGGTATTTCTCTCGCCTGTGGTCAGCACGCTCGACGCGTATTCGAGAGGTTCGTGGTTCGAGTCCCGTCGAAGACGTTTGCTAATTTTTCATCTCTCCCACTTACGGAATAACCTAATATCTCCACAAGGTTATTAATTAGCGATTTTTAATTGACAGAACTTCGAATTAGACTAAACCTAACACACAGATAATTCGTTATATTTACCGAATTCACATATTCACAGTCATTCGGTAAAATATTCATTTATATTTTACCGAATGACAAAAGTCTAGCAGAAGGAAGATAAAAAAATATTTTATTTCGAACAGTGTTGCCATTTTTCGCTTTCAAATAGCTGAGTTATTAAACAAAAATTCGTTAATTAGTACGCAATATGAAATAAATAAACAAACAGATTCGAAATTAAAAACTCCGGCTTCGAGGTGCCCATGTTCGGGTGGAGGATTACGTGTATTAAAAATTCAGTGGCTCTAGATGCCGTCGTTTTTCCACAATACGGGGAACATATACACACAAATATCTACAGATTCTTCATTACTGAATATTTTTTAAAATAATACTTTGCGATAATATTTGGTAGTAACAATTTGAAAATTAATTTGTCACTTTGGTGTGCCACCAAATTCTTAAAGTGTGCCTCCAAATTTTAGAAATGTATATAGTAAAAATTATAATGGGTTAAATTTTAGTATAAGATACACATGAGAATTGGCGAAATTCGGTTTTTAAGACATTAATAAGCGCGCCAATAGTGGTATCCAAGCCGATTTGGATGCCGAAGACTTCTGTATTTGAATTGACTTTGAACGAAGAAGAAGAGCTAATTTCACTTTCTAATAATCGAGATTTAATTTTAAAACATTCGTAAAGAATCAATTAATTACTTTTGGATTAACATCAGATGCGATTATCCCAAGATGGCCGAAAAAGCTTTAAAAATATTATTACAGTGTTCTACATCTTATTTGTGTTAATTCGGATTTTCAGTATTAACCAAGATAAAAACAAAAAAATGATCGACACTGTTAAATGCAGAAGACGATATGAGAGTAGCATTGTCATTTTTACGACAAAATCTAAATGAAACTATCAAAAACATCAAGCTCAAATTTCTCATTAAAAGTATTCTTATTATTATCTTGTAATTAATCCCTTAATAAACGTACTGCTGTTTTTGTAGTACATATTATTTTATTTTACATTCAAAGTTATTATCATAAACTATTTTACACAGTGTATGATAGGTAAGTAAACAACTTTTAAACTTATCTTTTTCTTTGTGTGCCGCGAAATTTTGAAATCGGTAAATGTGTACCGCGACAAAAAAAGGTTGAGAATCACTGGCCTAGAAGTTTTTAAACTTACCATTTTTGAGTCATCGAAGTCGTTTATTCCTCTCACGTACATGTTACACGTCACCACTGTAGGGCCTAAAAATAATTCATGCCAATTCAATACAAGTGTTTGTATGCAAATAAAAGATTTAAATAAAAGAGCAATTTTAAAAAAAGTAAGAATACTTCAAGATATCTCAATGAAGGCTGTAAAGTTTGAATCAAATGATAGAAATTTAAGTTGATTTAACACTACAGAAGAATTGGAAATTTCGGAATCAAAATATCCGGATCACTTTAGTCTTCTTTTAGAGCTACGTAAATTAATGCCTGCATGTTTCTAAATTTTTTCTTTGGGTTTAAGACCTTCTTTAGTAAAAAAGTTAACCACAAAAAGATACAGTAAAAATTCACTACAGAATTTTCATTCAAATTTCAAATTTGTGTGTATAATATTCTTAGGAAATATCCAGCTGCGGTAGGATAGCTTCCCCGTAAAGCAGTTTTAGAGTTGGCAGAAAATGGCAAGGGAAGGCAGGGTTAGCAGATTTGGCGTTAAATAGTCCATTTGGCGACAAAATTGGCGATATGCCATAGATGGAGAACATTCTAGAAGAAATTCTTACCGGTTTGGTCCAGAATGTTCTCGAAGGCAGGCTTAAAGTTATATAAACCCCACCTGTACGCGAAGTAGCAGTCAGTAAGTCTCGTAGTCAAGTGTCGAGGTTCTCGTAGTCAAGCGTCGAGCTATCTCAAAGTTTATCGTCAGTGTCTCGTCAGAGTATCGAGAGTTAGTGCATCGACAGTGTGCGTCGTTGAGGCTATCGAGTGTATCGTCGAGTACATCGCGAGTTGTAATGCGGAGAGTCTCGAGAGTACGTTGAGTTCCGAGCACGAGTGTTGACATATAGACGTAGATACTTTTTGCTTTTAGTACTGATTCGTAATCTTTCTTGCATTCCTTTTTGAGAAATTCATCCATTTCGTGCCAATCAATCTCATCACGAGGGAAAACAATTGATGGTGGTGGTTCTCCGTAATTCGTATCATTTCCTTCATCTGGCTGTTGCTGCAGGATTTGAAATCTGTTAATCTGTTCGATTTCCATAGTTTTCGGCTGATCTACTATTTTTGCTACGTTTTTATGTGATTTCCATTCAGAAATGTCATTAGTTGGAGTCGTGGGAGGCATCAATACTGTTTCAGGGCTGGCTTTAGTTTGCGGTGAGTCAACTCGAATTCTTCTCCTCTCAGTTTTCGGAGTGGCTTCAGCTGCAGGTTGCTTTATGTTGCATCCGTCTCCATTCATCACATTTATAATCCTCTCTATTCCTGATCGTTTATTAACTTCATTGCGTTTTGCTGATATTCTTCGTCATCTGTCTTCAGTTCGGGGTCAGTTGCATGTTTTTTCTTTTTCGCTATCTTCTTAGCTTGGTTGGCTTTGCAGAGATGGGCCTTTTCAGAAATTCCATTTTCCTTGAGGTAGTCGGAAGCGAGTAAGTCGAATATTCTGATACAGCATTGTCACTGTAATCATTATCATCTTGGCTGAGTGTCCCGAAATGGGACATGATGCGTGAGACCCAGAGAAATCACTTAACAGAATTTTTAGAATCTAGTCAAAAATCAAGAGCACTGATCAATCGCCTATGGTACTAGGTTGAGCTCTGAATCTCGACAGAAAGAGTGAGTGGGAGAGAGAGGAAGTTGCGATGCAATTACCTTTTATACCGGATTACATTTCCGATCACATGACAGATTAATGTCCAGAGGCTTGATTAGGATTTCATCGATAAGTGCGCAACAGAGATTAGATAACTAATCTTTTCCAGAATTGCAAGGAGTTTAGTTATAAAATCACTGCTCTGATATTTTTAGAATGAAGGCTATTAAAGGGCTTTTATTTATTTATTATTTGAAAGATTGGTATTTTATATTTTACATATACGTGTGTAAAATATAAAAAATAGGATGGCTTTACTCTACGCGAACAAGCAACCTCTAATTAGCTTTCCGCAATTTTAGGATCTTCCCCCTAGACCAGAACTTTCGAGAATATTCGAGCCTATTACGTAACCGCTCCTATAAATAGAGAACTCGCGCCATTTTGCATCGGAGACCGCTTTCTGCCTCTACTGCTGTTAAGACCTAGGCTGCTAATCTCATATGCCTCCCTTTGTTCGAATACTACGACGCAGTGAGCTATAAATTTAAATCCTTCTGTGTCATCATTACCAGATTGCCAAGCTTCACTTATGTGCCCGACTGCCAAAATATTACATATATTAAGACACAATAACACGCCGAATAAATACTAATTCAGAAGTCAAACAACAAAAATCAGCGTTATATTTACAAAATTATTAGTTATTGTTGTTTGACTTCTGAATTAGTATTACATATATATACATATATTCTCAAACAAAGCGATTATTAGTACCAAATTTTGTAACCGAGCTTATTTAATTTATGACAAATACAAATAAAAATCTTCAAATTTTATGACTGATATCCCATTGAATGTAATTTATATCACATTATATTAAATTAACTCCGTTTAGAAGTTTTCTGATGCTCGTTCCAAATGGAAAAAAAAATAATGTTACGAATTTTCTATGTATGTCAATAATTTTGATGAAATTCGATATAAATTGTAGTATTGCTTGTATAATATAACATAATTGGCTTGAGGATGCGAAACATTCCTGGAGAAATAAGGTTAAAGGGGTTAAATCTCTTTAACATTGAGAAAAAAGGCTTTATTGCCAAATTGGAAACTGGCGAAAACACAATCACCATTCTGGGGCAGATCCAAGTTGACGGTGGTTTTTTGCGATTAATTTTTGTAGTCAAATGGTTGAGAAAACACCAAAAGTCGCCAAGCTTATCGACCATTTGGCGACATCGGGTCCGATACCTGTGTAACTGTAATTGGTCCGATCCTTATGGTATTGTAACTCTGTCTGAGTCTTTGTAACCGTAACTGTGTATACGTTCGAGTACGTTCGAGAAACCGAAGGTACTAGAAATTTCTCGGCGGATAGGGGAAAAGTATACAAAACCGGAGAGAGTACCTGTTTAGTACAGAGTTTGGCTCAAAGTACTGAGAATTTAGAACAGTAAGAGATCACTGTGCGAGCTAACGCATTACGAGGCTTTCGTATGGTTACGGATTTGGTATTTAAATAGCTAATGTTAGTTGAATTATAAATTAAATTCTTTTATTACCCGTGCGGTGCAGCGCGTAACGAATATTAAAAGAAAGCTAAGCTGGAAGATTAAAAATACAAGAGCGCGTGCATTTAACATTTAATAAATATATATCTCTCTTTTTGATTTCGAGAAAGTTCCAGAAAATTCTCGCGCGCGATTTAAAATCTTATGAAAAAGAGAAAAACCTCTCAATTCAGTTAGTTAGTTTGTTGTTTTAAGAGTTTGTTTAGAAAACTGCTCTTGTTGACTGTAGCGAATTCGCGAATTAGCTTTCTTTATTGTTTTGAATTAAGTTCTGTTAAACGTTTGATTAGTTAAAAGATACTACTGTAAGATATTGTAATATTGTACGATTATCTGAGAAAATTTAAGTATTTTGTTTTATTTATTTGCAATAATAATAAATCTTTATTCATTTTTCATCGGACTTGTGCATTCAATTCAAACGAACCCGTATGCACGCAACAGTATTATCTTCTGTTCAGCGTTCTTAGTTGTTTGAAATGGTAACTCCTGATTGTGTTCTGTCAGACCGAGAAGAGGTGTACTTTTGTCTGAAAATTTCCAAAACTGTAAACTGTTTTTGTAAAATTACATTTATCTAGCTATCACCGGTTCTGTGGGCATTCAGTTCATTCTGAACTCGTAAGCCCATACCAATAATATAAATACTAACACCAAATAACTATAGTCTTGAAATCTTCACAACAACATTTTTTGCAACAACTACACGATTGAAACGTCTTCGAAGGCCACATAAAGCTGCTTCGCGGGTCACATGCGGGCTGCCAGTTTGAGATCACTGCACTTCATAATTAATTCCCATACGAAGACAAAATTTGTTAGTTACCTGTTCCGTTGGTACCAACCGGGCGCAAGCGTCCGTCATAATTGCGATATATTTGGTCAAAAATAGCCTTTTTCTCTCTCATCAATAAATGGTCTGACCTGCGAAAAGAAAAATATTTTAGCTGCAGTATCTACTAACGAATTCATCGCAGGAGTTGTAAGAATAAAAATTACTTACCGTGCACTGATGTGACAGAACAGGAGTATGAACACGAGTGATGATAATGGAGTCCGAAGAGCCATTTTCACGTTTTCTTATACTTAGAAATGCTGAAAAAATATATATATTTTTTTCACTCTTTCACAATGAGTAAATAACAAAGTTTATGTTCTACGAATCGTTTAAAGACTTGTTACTACCTTTCTGCCTCTTATATAACATTAGGACATTAGGATATATATTACCTAATTAACATTAGGATATATATATATATATATATATATATAATGATTTTAATGAGTCCAACTCGTGCAATTTCACGGATCCAGCTAGTAATTATTAAGCATAAAGAGGAAGAATGGCGTTTATTACTTTTAAATAGCTTAAAATGACCCAAAAGAGAAATTAAATAGCTTACATTTCCTAAATAGGAACATATACGGAACATAAAAATATTTCTTTTCGGGCAGTGGCAACGCATTTCGTTTAATTGCTGAAGTGATTGATTAAATTTGAAAGACAAATACCTTAGCTTTGCCAAGTGACTGCACATTTGAAATCGCTGAGTTTATTAATTGAAATTTTATTTCATTCGCAAGAAACAAAAATAATTTTTTTTTTTTTTTTAAATCTAAAAGCTTTCAGATTTTATATTACGCCCAAAAGCAGCTTGTTAGTGTTACCTTTATTTATTAAATATCATGTTCTTCGCACTTAAACCATACAACTCAGTTCAAGAGCAATATCGCAAAATTATTTTTAAATGAGCCTATCTTTAAAATTTCCGATTCACAGTCTCGCGCGCTAGATTTAAAAATGCTTCCTTTCCGTACAGTTTTGCCATTTCTCGCTTTGAAATCGTTGAGTTTGTTAATCAAAAATCTCGTTAAAGTTTTACAAATTATGAAATACTATAATAAAACAAATTCGAGATTCAAAATTTGGGCTTCCAGGTGGCAATGTTCGGATGGAAAGGATTACGTTATTCAAAAATAGCGTGGCTCTAGGAACCGCCGTTTTTTTCTCACAATGCGAGAAACATGCATACATTCATGCATATTCTTCATTATTTAATTTCTTTAAATATAACATAGGGCGATAATATTGGGTAGCAACAATTTGAAAAAAGAATCGACATTTACAGTGAACCAACGCAAAATGCCAAAACGAAATTAATAGCCCTTCTAGGCAAATTGCTTCTTTGCACTAAAAATTCAAAATACCGTTTCCGAAATTCACGATTCGGATGGAGACCTGTTTCAATTTGAAACAATGAGAATGACTTCACAGACTGAAATTTCTAAGTCGACGGGGACGCTTCCAATGTGCGCATTGACGACGATATCGCCCGTGATCTTTCGGGTTCAACAGAACTGGGTGTCATTTCAGATGATCAACCTCTACTTTATGAAATAATCGAGGAACTCGACATTCAAAAAATAATAATAATAATAATAATAATAATTTCGATGTGTTAAAACGTACCATTCTGCTGATGACGAAGAACGAAGATCCATTCATTCGCTTCCTCGAACACAAGAACCGTTGATGAATTGTCGCAAACATTAGCTGCTGTAGGGCTCTCTCGGAATTGAGCCCTGAAAATTAAAATCTCCCGGCTCTCGGAAGGAATTTAAAATAAATATCACTCTACCGGAATATGAAGTTTCTCAAAAATAACGACACAATGTGCACGGACGAAATGGTTGACAGTATCGAAAATCACACGACCGCGCACAGCAGCCAAAGAACGTCTATGTCAATAAATAATCTTTGCAGGAGCGATCTTCGGTGAGCGTTCGCCTTACGGGATGAGTCATGGTTTCATGCCGGCTTGTCGCGCCGTGACCGGCCGTGGTCGCGCCCTCATCTTCCCTCACCCTCTTATTTTCAATCCATTCTTTCATTCACTCTGCAGTTAGCTAGCTATCTACAAACAAGTGCGTGTTTTGAAATAATTTAAATGCTTTCATAATAATGTCTAGTGAGAAAAAATGATTTTGATTTTGCAAGTAAACAAGTACCACAAAAAAAAAAAAAAAAACTTATTTTTTTTCTTTTCCCGGAAACGTTTTTCCTCTCCCGGATTTTGACAACCAAGAGGTGGCAACGCAAGTTGCTGGACTTGTGAAGAAGCAACTGAACTCAAAGGTATGCGCAATTTGTCTAACAATTCAGGCATAATTAAGACACAATAACACGCCGAATAAATACCAATTAAGTAGTCAAACAACAAAAATCAGCGTTATATTTACAAAATTTTTCACAGGACTAGTTTCGATGGTTTTACCGAACCACCATCCTCAGCTGCAAAACCGCAAATGAAACAAAATAGGAAATATGATTAGCTAAGATAAGAAAGCCTGGGACAGAATAAGCAAGTGGCGCCATCTGTTGGTGAACCAAAACTAAAACATAATTTATTTAAAGGCCGAAGGCAAATTTGGATTGGAATTAGGATCGTTAACTAGAACGAAAGCTTTTTATGATGTGAAATGCCTCTAGAAATCCAGTTCTCCAATGGAAGAGTTTTTGAATACTTTTGGCAGCAGAAAAATTGAAAGTGTGATTTTCGGACCAACAATGTTGAGCACAGAAGACTTTGTGTTTCCTTTTTTTCTAACATATGCCTCATTTTCTTGACGCGAAATTTTAAGGCTCTCTTAGTTTGGCTAATGTAATTAAACCACACTGGCAAGGAATCCTATAAATACCCCAGGAATTCATATCCGGAATGGCGTCCTTGAGTATGAACTCGGAATTTTATGAGGGAGAATAAACAACCCGAAAAGTTAAATTTCTGCAAAATATGTGCAACTTTGTTGTCATTCCCTTCTTTCCATCATTAGCTACAAAGTTGCACATATTTTGCAGAAATTAACTTTCGGGTTGTTTATTCTCCCATCAATAAAATTCCGATTCCATACTCAAGGACGCCATTCCGGATATGATTCCTGGGGTATTTATAGGATTCCTTGCCAGTGTGGTTTAATTTACATTAGCCAAACTAGAGAGCCTTAAAATTTCGCGTTAAGGAACATGAGCATATGTTAGAAAAAGGAAACCCAAAGTCTTCTGTTGCTCAACATTGTTGGTCCAAAATCACACTTTCAATTTTTTGCTGCCAAATTATTCAAAAAACTCTTCCATGGAGAACTGGATTTTCTAGAGACATTTCACATTCATAAAATCTTCTGTTCTAGTTAACGATCCTAATTCCAATCCAAATTTGCCTTCGGGCCTTTAAAGAAATTATGTTTTAGTTTTGGTTTCACCAACAGATGGCGCCACTTGCTTATTCTTGTCCACGCTTTCTTATCTTGCTAATCATTTTCCTATCTTGTTCATTTGCTGTTTTGCAGCTGAGGATGGTGGTTCGGTAAAACCATCGAAACTAGTCCTGTGAAAAATTTTGTAAATATAACGCTGATTTTTGTTGTTTGACTTCTGAATTGGAATTCAGGCATAGTTAGCTCTAATATTAAAGCGCAAATTTATAATGTTAATAACGCTAATTAAGGTTTTTAAGACTGCCACCAAAACTGCCAAGCAGTTATTAAAGTTGAATAGAATTAAAACCTATAGAGAAGCAGAATAAATTTGATCTATCAACTAAGGACAATTCATCTCCAGACATGTAGGTTGTGCAACAACCGACTCCTGCACAATCACATGTTCTTTGCTGCCCTTCATTTAAGCTTATTTCCTCGAATTTCATTTTTTTGTTTTTTAATTAAAGAAGAAAAACAATAAGTTCCCCATGTACCACATAGTATCACATGGGGCTTACAGAAGTAAGAATGAAACACAATACAAAATAAATAGAAGAAAAAAAACTGAAATAAAATTAAGGATGATTACAAAGTTTCACAATAAATTGACAAAAAGTGTTAAAAGCACTTCTCTCGGAAATAAATTGGTAAAATTCTGGAGGCCAGTTAATATTAAAGATTTTCAATTCCAGTTTCAAGACTTTTCTTTCGTTCTTATATTTAGGACATAGAAGAAGCACATGTTCAACATTCTGCTCTCCACCGAGGCTACAATCACAGACAGACTCGGAGCTTAACTTAAAATCTATTCAAATAACTTTTGAAATTTCCATGGCCAGTAAGAAATAGAGTTAGTTTATAGTATGTGAAGAAGTGATGACATGACAATCTCATCTTGATAGAAGGGAAAAATCTCTTTGTTAAGCTCCCTTTATTTGAATTAATGAATTCGTGGCTCCACGACTCCACAATCCTTTCATACAGACCTTCTTAAAAAAGGAATAGGGATATTGACAAAAGTGTCAATTTCCCGCTAGTCGCAGCCTTAGCAAGGAAATCGGCTCATTCGTTCCCAACAACCCCTGTATGACCACGAACAAATTGAAAATGCAACGAAATATTTTTATCTTTTAGGCTTTTCAGTTCTTTTTGAATTTCGATAATGATTATTAGGAAAAAAAATACATTTTAGATCTCCAAGGATGAAATGGAATCAGTACAAATGGAATAGTCTGAAACAGCACTATTAGTTCAGAGACCCATTGATGGCGAGTTAAGCACAAAGTTCAGCTATAAAAACGGTACATTCATCTTAATTCTAAATTGAAAGTGCTCAATTCAAGACCATTTTTGAAGACAACAAATGCGAGACCAACCTTGCCATCAATTTGCTGCATCAGTATAGCAAGTGACAGGCGAATCATCTACGAATTTATTGCTAAAACTGAATAAAATTAACAGCATGTCTTTCTGAAGGAATGAGGAAGATAGATGGAGGTAAAATACAATCATACTGAGAGACAGCAGAAGCAGAAATATTTTCCTTATAAGGAATAGCATGAAGAATGGCAATGTTAATTGAAGGAAAGCCAGAAATTGCATAAACAGACTCATAGCTAACCGTACCATATCCACATATGACTCGCAGAAGTATACGCCTTTGAAAGCGTCGTAAACATCTATAATTTATCTTCTTCTTGAGCGATATACCCCAGACTTTAGAGACATACATAATCAAGGGTGCAATTCCTTGTTTATAGATGAGCGAATGAACATTGTAATTAATACCGTATGTGTTGCGTGCAATGCGACTTAATCCACGCTGCAATTTATCGCATTTCTCTGATACATAAGTTAAGTGTTGCTTCCTAGAAAATTTACAGTCGATAAAAACCCCAAGATATTTCATTTGCTTTACGCCAGTCAAAGGGGTGCCGTCGAGAGATAAATGAAATGCATCATAAATGTTTCTCTTTTCAATAATCATAACCCTGGTTTTATCAGGATTAAAGTCTAATTTAAATCCTTTTGACCAGTCGGAGGCGAGATTTAAAGTTTCTTGTGCCTGTAAAATAGTAGCAGAAAGGTCCCTACTCTGGAAGCAAAACAAGACATCATCCGCAAAGGCTATAGTATCACAACAAGCAAGATGTTCCAGTTTTGATAGGAGATCATTAATAATAATACTCTAAAACGAAGGATCTGAAATTTAGCCTTGAGGGCAACCCCTTTTAAGACGTTTTGTTCGGATTCATTAGAGAATTCCATTAGTTCCTCGAATTTCATTAGAGATATATTTCTCATTCAATTAATTCTGTTCACATTTCGCGGCAACGAAAGGCAGAAATACATAAAAACACAAAACGTCTTCATGTGTCCAGCACGCGATCTCTCCCTAGTTCCATGCTAAGGCACCGAACTGGCTTTAAGTAAATAATCACTTCCGAATGATTATTCGCAGTAAAAATTGTTTTTGAAGATTTGTAAGAAATGAATGATTTTGTAAACAAATTTAATCTAACCTTCTATACTTATAGTTAAATGTTAATTATAAACACTACCCATTTTTAGCCCAAACGGGAAATTTGCCCGTTAATTAAAGAAGAAGGGCTATTAATTTCGTTTTGGCAGCTTGCGTTGATTCACTATAAACGGCGAATCCCTTTTTAAATTGTTGCCACCAAATATTAGAGCTCGAATTCTATTTAAAGAAATGAAATAATGAAGAATCTGCATAAATGTATATATGGTTCTCGCATTGTGATAAAACAACGGTACCTAGGTCCATCCAATTTTAAATAACCTATGTCTCCAAACGAATATGGGCATTTGGAAGCCCAAATTTGGAATTTGGAATTTATTTTATTATCTATTTCATACTTTGTAAAGCGTTTATAAGTTTTTGATTCAGAAACTTAAAGAAACTCAACGATTTCGAAGCGAGCAATGGCAACATCTTACGAGGAAAACAGAAACAATAATACCTAGAGACATCCAATTTTGAATAATGTAGTCCTTCACCCGAATATGGGCACTTGGAAGCCCGAATTTTGAATTTAGAATTCCCTTTATTATCTATTTCATATTTTGTAAAACTTTAACGAATTTTTTATTAATAAACTCCCCGATTTCAAAGCGAGCAATGGCAACACTGTACAGAAAAAAACTTTTTTTTATCTCCAGGGCGCGAGTCTGTGTATCGGAAATTCTAAAGATATCTCTTTTAAATATT